GGATCGTCAGCTTTCGTAAGCCTTTGAAACGGTGATCGTTGAGGTACCTTGAATGGTGGCTGCTTGGCATCGACATCCTTGTAAAGTGGTACAAAGATTGGGGTTTCTTCATTCTTTCCATCGGTTCTGGCTCCTTCTTTGGGAAATGTGGTTATGGCATTGCAAAACCTCTTAGGGTTATCTTCAACTCTTCCTGGAAGAACTCCACTTTGCCTCTTCATAGAGTCGGCTATTCGGGCAACTTGTACGTCTAACTTTTTGATGTGCGAAGATAAAGCTTCAAACTTCCCGTTCAGGTCATTTTACATGCAGTCAACCTTCATGTTCATGTCTTTAGATGCTTTCTCGTTCGTCATAACAAGCTGTGGGATGGACTGCTCAAGTCTACCGATTTGTGAAGCTAGCTGGTTCGTTGTGACTCCCTGCTGTTGTACAAATTGATTGTTAAAACCCGTACCTTGATAGTTATATGGCTGTCGTGGTTGATAAGCTCTTGTCCCTCCGAAGTTTCCACCTTGGAACTTATTTGGAAGGATTTTTGCTGTGGTGAGTAGTACTGATCTTGAGGATTCTCCACATTTGGATTACGGTGAGAGAGATTGTTGTAATTTGCATTCTGGAAGTTGTTGTTGAAGCCATTGTTGAAGCGATTTGGATATGGTGCTTGTGCTCCAACATAGTTCACCTCTTCTTCTTGAAAGGCTTGATTAATGTGATCGATATCACTAGGTCCTTCATCTTCTGCGCCATTGTTGGTCTCACAAGCATGGATTGGGCGATTGTTGCTCTTCAAAAGCTGGCTCATCATGTTCTTCAACTCGGTTATCTCCTTGTTGTCTGTTCCCGTCTGCTTCGTCGAGCGATCGTATTCAGGACAAACATTGCTATTGGCTTGAGCCAGATTCTCGATGAGGGCTCTTCCTTGTGCTATCATCTTTTGTCCAAAATCTCCATTGCTAGCTGTATCAAGCGAAAGTTTGTATTTTGGTTGCAAACCTCGGTAAAATGTGCTCAGCAGGCTTGATCCAGGAAATCCATGATGGGGGCAATCACATTCATACTCCTTAAAACATTCCCAGGCTTCATAGAAAGGTTCAGTCGGTCCTTGCTGAAAGCTTGAGATCTTTGTTCTCAACAAATTCGACCTTGACTTAGTATAGAACTGATTCAGGAAAGCAGTTTTACACTCTTCTCAATTAGTAATCGATCCTGCAGGCAAAGATTTCAACCAACGGTGAGCTTTATCTACTAATGAAAGAGGGAACAACTTACACTTTAAATAGTCTGCTGGAACTTGGTTTGTTCTCATCATGCTGCAGATTTCTTCAAAGAGCTCGATATGGTCCATTGGATTTTCAGAAGGAACTCCGTGGAATTGGTTTTGTTTCACCAATGAGATGATTTGAGGCTTGACTTCAAACTCATTCCGGTTCGGAAATGGAACTTGAATTGCAGATCGGTTTTGAAAATTTTGAGTAGGTGCATCGAAATCAGCTATGCGATGGTTCTTGGCTTGTCTTCGATGTTGGTTTGCTGGCTGAACAGGGCGGTTAACGCATCCATTCTGCTGCATCCCTTGGTGGTCACCATCGGCTGCATTGATAGGTGCATCAAGGTCTTCACGTTCTTCTCTCTCGCGGTTTTGGTGGTTTCTTGGAGGAACCTCATCCTCTTCTCCATCTTGTCGAGCATGATCACCTCCTCTGTGATCGTTCTCTTCATTTTCTCCATGTTCGGACCCATCTTGGTCCATGTTTAAAGCTCGGTTAATAGGATCTCCAGGCTGGTCGCCGTTGGCCATTCCTTGCGTTCGTCTAAGTCTTCGAAGTTCTCTTTCGTGTCTGTCTATCTCGTCTAGAATTGGAATGTTTTCTACAGGTCTGCGCCTGGTATTCAGGCAATTCAGAGAAAAACAAAAGAAGGGAAAGATAATTCAGCAAAACTTTAAGAAAGAACTAGAGATCAGGTGTCTAGAACAGAAGTTAAAACAAGAAAAATAACAAAAGGCAGCGAAACAAATCTCCGGCAACGGTGCCAAAAACTTGATGCGTGTCAACTGCGTGACGGAACAAGTTTAACCCTTAATAAAAACAAATGAAAGCCGCAAGTGCACAGCTAAGCAGTTGTAGTATTTAGGGATCGAATCCACAGAGATTTGTGTGTCTGGTATTTTTCTACGATTTCTAACTTTATGTCTAGACTAGCTTGGTTTTAGAGGTTGGTTGTTTGTCACGGACTAAACTAAAACTAAAGAAAGAAAATAAATCTATCCTAGAAAAGCAAGTAGAAAAATCGAATGAAAAGCAAATGAACCAAGCAGAATATCGAACTAAAGTAAATAAAATGCAGATCTAATTAAACAAGTAAAAATTGATTGGTTTGTAAACTATGGCTAAAAACGCTGAGCTTTCGGGAACTCTACAGGGATCATAATCGGTTTTAACACTAGGGTTGATAGATTGGGATTGACGGATGTCGAAATATAAGGTTCTAGAGCTAGAGTACGGCGGTATGACTACGTTACTGTCGTGATCATAATTAACTGTTTCTCGCAATCATGACCAGTAGGTTTCCACTCTGGCCCTGGAAGGGAGAAAACGCAAGAGCTGCACAAGACTCGTCAATACTCACGATCTCACCGCAGGTAGGTTTCCACTCTTACAGAAAAATCGCCTGTTTCATTCTAGGGCTGATACTTAATGAAAATTTTCGCAACACTAACTATCTAGATCAGATACTAGGTGATCAATCAAGCATACATGCAATAAGAACGAGAACAAACAGAGAACAAAGTTAAAATCCCAGATCTATAAACCTAGATGTCTTTATCGATTATGAGAGCCCCTTTTGGGAACCCTAAGCCCAACTCGGGATCTACTCAGACATAGCTGAGGTTGACATCATCATTGGTTTTAATAAAAAGTAATCAAAAACAGTAAAGAAAAGAGATGAAAGAAAGCTTCTCTATTGAAGAACTCAGACTTGAACAATCTTCTACAAAAATCGCATAAAAATGGCTAAAGGAAAAGGGTTTCTGTAAAGTATGAAGGGTTGTGTCTAAAAACGACTTAAATGACAAGTATTTATAGTCTTCAATACTCCATGGTCTCTAGGGTTCCAGAATCGAGGCTGAGAAATGACTTTGGGCTTCAGAAATATGGGCTTTAATTCGGAGTTGGCAGGCCGCAGTCGTGAGTGACGTGACCGCGGGAAATAGGTGGTTGGCCACAGTCGAGAGGCTTGTGACCGCGGGGAATGGGCTGGTGGCTGCGGTCGCGTGATTTGCTGGCCATCTTCGAGTGGCTCCAGGGCTAATAGAATATCTTGAGATCCAACCGTTGGAATGTCTCCAAATCAAGTGCATTTGAAAGCTGGTTGATTCTTCTATAAGTTATCCAATTTTAAGGGTGATCAGACAGTGAGAAGGTCTTCGTCTCTCCATGAGAGTTCTGACGGTCTGCATTTATCCAAAAGAATCTTTTTGTTCTAATTTGTGCCTCTTTATCCCAGATTACCTGAAAAGTATTTTAAAATCCGAAAACATAGAAATCCTTTGGAAACCTTTGAAAATGGAGTAAAAACACTTGTAAAAGACATTAAAGTGATCCATAAAAATGATCAAAATCTGGTGTTATTAGGTGGCTCATAGTCCGTTGGGTATTTACCTTTGTCAGCGTAAGTATGCGACAGGTATTGTTACAGAAATGGGTCTCCTTGGATGTAAACCCGCTGGCTCTCCTGTCGACCAGAATCATACACTGAGTCTCGCTGATGGTCCTCTGTTGGCGGATCCGGAAAGTTATCGATGATTGGTGGGATGTCTCATCTATCTTGCTGCCACTCGCCCCGATCTTACTTATGCTATTCATGTCATTTAACAATACCTGCATCGGCCAAAGGTGGACCATTGGTTAGCGGCCATGAAAGTTGTACGATATCTTAAAGGCACACTTCGACAAGGTATACTTCTCCGTGTTGAGTCGAATTTTCATGTTAGTGGCTGGTGTGACTTGGACTAGGCATCATGCCCTTTGACACGATGATCTCTCACGGGCTACATTGTTCAATTCGGTTCATCTCCTATCGTGTGGAAGTCTAAGAAACAGGACACGGTCTCGCGTTCTTCCACAGAGGCAGAATATCGTGCTATGACAGAGCTCGCCTCAGAGTTCCGGTGGATCAAGACTTTGCTCGGCCAAATGGGAATGGATCATACTGCGTCTATGTCTCTTTTCTGTGATAGTAATCCTGCTTTACACAGTACCAATCCAGTGTTTCAAGAGCGGACTAAACACGTTGAAATAAATTGATATTTTGTTTGAGATGATATCCTCCACGAGCTGATCAAACCTGTTCATGTCTCGACTAAGGACCAACTTGCTGATATACTCACCAAGGCATTGGAAAAAAAGGAATTTGACACATTTCTGCTTAAGTTGGGCATTTCCAATCTGTATGCTCCAACTTGAGGAGGAAGGGGGTATTAGGATATATAGAATATCTCTAAGCATATTTTGTGTATATTAGCATATTTCTTTTCTGGATTAGGTAAATCTATTGTATATGTATATATATATATATATATATAGAGGTCGTGACACTCGAACAATACAAGAGAAACTTTTCCAAATCTAATTTGGCAGTTACATAATATTCTTTTATAATATTTAAACTTATTTTATATTATCATTTTTTGAATTTTTTAACAATAATTATCAAAAATTTAACGGTATTCTAAAATTACTTGAAATAGCAAAACCCAAATCTGAGTCTTACACTGTTGGATAACGATATATTTGACATGTATAATTTGTATTACATGTACCATACACGCTATCAGTTTACTCGACTTATTAGCCAAATTGACTGGATAAAAATTGAGAAAAAAAAAAAGAGATGAAAGTTGGAATAATATGAATATTGAAAGGACTAATTTATTGAACTCATAAGTCATATCCATAAGCATCATAAACGAACAATATTTTTCATATATACTCATACGTCACACGAATACATATCGTTGAATTTAAATATAGTCTTTATATTAGACCCAACACTCTGACTTTCCGAATCGAAACATACACAACGGAGAATCCAAAGCAAAATAGCTGTCTCTTCTTTTTTTTTAAATAGAAATATTTTGTCTTCATTTTCAATCCGCCACGTTGAACATTGATAGCCTCACATGGTCTTCACGTACGACCGGCTCCATAAATGCATGTTATTGTTACTACTATAGTGATGGTAGGGATGAATATGATGATGAATATGACGACGATGATAATCGTTCTCATCATAGTTCCTACTCTTGGTACAATACTTATACCTCCATTCTCTTGGATCATGCTCATCATCGAAATGTGCAACATCATCATCACTATTCAACAAAACCTCATGTTTACTTTTACATCTTAGACTCCTTGCACCACTATTATCATTGGTCATCGATAAAGCCACCACTTGATCACATGCCGCATCATTATCTTTATAAATCTCTAACCTAGATTCCAAATGAAGCCGATCTAGACCCTTAGGTTCGTCTTCTAAGTCCATGGTTTCTTCTTCGGAATCACAAGAAGCTCTTATGGGATTGTCAACACCCTTTTGCCGTTGCAAATTTCCATCGTAAATGCCACCAACAAGATGTAATCGCAGCCGTCCATTTGCTCGAGAAGCATGAAAGATCTCTGGTCGGTCGATCATAACTCGTGTAAGTTCCAATCTACCGTCTTTCCTCACCGGCCGGAGATAAAAAGAACGCTCTCCTCGGGCGTTCAAAGACGAGAGCGGCGGGGGAAATTGATTCTTACGATCTCTCGACGTAGCCACAACATTCTCCTCCTTCGTCTTCTTCCTCTTTGTTTCGACCCTTTCCGTTATCGCCTCCGCATGACACGTCATCTTTTCCTCAACCTCGTTATCTGACATCCTCATGTCGTAACTCTCGAACCCTAGATACTCTGTACACAACATTAACCCATTCTCTGATGAACCGGACCGATGGTGAGATAGCGTTTTCAAACCGAATATGGATTCACATGGCTGATCATTGTTAAATGGCATCGTATTGGTATTATTCTGGCCAAGGAAAGAGTGAAAACTTCTTTTGCAGAAGCTCATCTTGCTAACAGAGAAAGGGTGACTAGATACATACTTCCTTATTTGTATTATTGTGATGATTGATGAATAATCATGACTTTTTCTGTTTTTAGAATTTAACAAAAATAAAAGAGATAAAGAGATGGAAACGAGATGAATGATGATCGAAAGAAGCGGTGTATTGTTTGGTGAATGAAGGTGCCAGCGAACGATATGATCTGTAGAGATTAGAAGAGAACGTAAGTTGGGTCCCACGTCAGACTGGCTTTACAGTTCTATCTCTTTCAGTAATTATTATTGGTTTTCTTGTCTTACCTATTTTGTTTTTAGAATTGAAAATGTGTAATTTGACTAATTCTTTTACTCATTAACAAGTAAGAAGATGATCCAAAAACCTATATCACGTGTTTGGCTATTTATAGATGGATTAGTTCCTCTGCATGTTATTTTAGGCTCAGGTTTATCTAATATGGACTAGTTTTGAAATTATAGATTCCTAATCTTAGTGACGATATACTTTTTTTTTGGTCAGAAGTGACAATAATTTAATTATCAAGTTTGACTGTTATCTAGCGGAATCTCATAACTCCAATTTCTCAAATTCTCACAAAGGTAGCTCTCTCTTCTCTCTTTTTTCTCTTTCTACCTTATTTTAGTTTCCGTAGGGTTTTCATTTTTGCTGCCGCGTTTTCGCCGCATTAGCGATTGGTTTTACGCTGCCGTCTTCATTCCCGACGAGTCCGGTGTAGAATTCCTCGCCGAGCTGTAATTTTTGTATCGTAGTATGCAATATATCGAGCCGATTTGTTGAGTCTTTGGAATCGCTTTTTAATACGAGGCGCGACCCCGGGAAGACGAGGCGTTTTCTTCATCAAGCCTCCGAGATCACGGCGAGACGAGCCCTCGCGACTATTCTGCCAGGGATGACGAGGCGAATGCTCTTGCCTGAGGCGTTGTCAATATTTCCGCAATAAAAGCCGAAGATGAGGCTTTCCCGTTTTACCCGGTAGAGGCGAAGCACGAATTAGAGTTCTTTGTAGCGAGCTCTGGTGCTTCGGGACGTTCGAGGCCTCGGAAAAAAAGGAGACAAAGACCTGATCCACCCGGCTCGTCTTTGTCCTCAGCAGAATCTTTGGAAGCTTTGCGCATCCGTTTCGGGATCTCGCAGGCGGTAGAGTTTGTCGTGCCGAGCCCAACCAATCGTGCTCACCTTCTGCCTCTGAACCACTTGACGGTATATGAGAGTTTTTTCGAACTCTGCTTCCTGTGGTTTCCAATTCCCGAGGTGATTCTCAGATACCTCTGGAAGCATGGAATTTCCATTAGTCAGATCATGCCGAGGGGGCTGCGTCACATAACCGGATTTTAGTGCGGAGTTTCAAGTGTCATATCGACGTCACTCTTGATCATATGCTGAATTTCTTGGATATTTGCAAAGCTCCTAGAGGGAAGAGGTTCAATATCTCGAGCAAGGCTTGTTTGGGATGATCGCTTTTTCTACGTTCTTGTTAACCAGGCGTCGGTTGGTGATTTTATCGACATTACCAAGATCGATTGGGGACCACTTGGTAGCCGATCTGACGTCTCGACTCGGCTCGGTTTCTATATCCTGTGTTGATACCTGACTCTTCTTTCTTGTTTTCTTTTGTTTTTCAGTTCGGAGCATTCTTCCCCAATCCTCGAGGATTTGTTTAACGTTCGAGATGCGTTAGCAGCTCGGAAGAGTAACTGGAAACGCCATTTTTTGCTCGAAAGAGTCAAAAGGGCTCGATCAATATTAGCTGGAGTTCTAGTCAGTTCAGGCTCATCCAACTCTTCTGGAGATACTAGGGAGAAGATGGTTATTGTGACACATAAGGAAAGGAAGAGAAGGGAGGCCAAAGCGGCTGCAAAACGAGCCGAGGAGGCTGCTCAGCAAGCCGAGGAGGCTACTCAAAGGGCCGAGGAGGCTACTCAAAGAGCCGAGGAGGCTCCGAAACAGGTTGACGGAGAAACTCAAGGGGAGCCGCAACTTGGTGACCAGGGGAGCAAGGAGAAATCCGTCGAGCAGGGAGAGATAGTTTTCGAGGCATCGACAAAGGCGTTAAGCGAGCAACGGGAGTCTACTGTACCAACAGTCTCGGCAGTGCTTGCTCTTCCTCAATCGAGGCCTCCCGCCTCGGATTTGATAGTTCACGAGGCGTCCAAACGCAACCGTACTTCTGTTAAGAAGGGCAAAGGTCTCGCCGCTCCAGAGCCTACAAAAAAGAAAACAAGGCTAGTTAATGACGAGCCGGCCGAGAAGAAGCTTATTATTGACGATCTGGTCGCCTCGGCACGGTTATTTGCGAAGGTGAATTGTGCCGACGTCTCGTTCCTGCTGATGCGGTGCTGAGTGTGTCAACTACGTGAGGGAACAAGTTTTACCCTTAACAAAACAAAAGAAAGCCGCAAGTGCACAGCTAATCTGTTGCAGTATTTAGGGATCGAATCCACAGAGATTTGTGTGCCTGGTATTCTTCTACGGTTTTTAACTTTATGTCTAGACTAAATTGGTTTTAAAGGTTGGTTGTTTTTCTTGAATTAAACTAAAGGAAAATAAAGTAAATAAATCTATCCTAAAAGGCAAGTAAAGAAATCGAATGAAAGGCAGTAGAACAAGTAAAATATCGAACTAAACAAAGATAAGGCAAGTAAAATATCGCATGAAAGGTAAATAAAGCAAGTAAATAACGAACTAAGAAAATTAAAATGCAGGTCTAAGAAAGCAAGTAAAAATCGATGGAAATTGTAAACTATGGCTAAAAACGTTGAGCTTTTGGGTATTCTAAGGGATCATAATCGGTTTTAACATTAGGGTAGATAGATTGGGATTGACGGATAACAATATATGGGTTCTAGAGCTAGAGTACGGCGGTATGACTACGTCGCTGTCGTGATCATAACCAACTGTTTCTCGCAACCCTGACCAGTAGGTTTCCACTCTGGCCTTGGAAGGGAGAGAATGCAAGAGCTGCATAAGACTCGTTAATACTCACAATCTCGCCGCAGGAAGGTTTCCAATCCTACAGAAAAATCGCCTGTTTCATTCTAGGGCTGATACTTAATGAAAACTTTCGCAACACTAACTATCTAGATCAGATACTAGGTGATCAATCAAGCATACATGCAATAAGAACAAGAATAAACAGAGAACAGGTCGAAATCCCAGATCTATAAACCTAGATGTCTTAATTGATTATGAGAGCCCCTTTCGGGAACCCTAAGCCCAACTCGGGATCTACTCAGACATGGCTGAGTTCGACATCATCATTGGTTTTAATAAAAGTAATGAAAAACAGTAAAGAAAAGAGATAAAGAAAGCTTCTCTATTGAAGAACTCGGACTTGAACAATCTTCTAAAAAAATCTCATAAAAACGGCTAAAGGAAAAGGGTTTCTGTAAAGTGTGTCGAGTTCTCTCTAAAAACGACCTAAATGACATGCATTTATAGTCTCCAATGCTCCATGGTCTCTAGGGTTCTGGAATTTAGGCTGGGAATGACTTTGGGCTTCAGATAAGTGGGCTTTAAGTCGGAGCTTGAATGCCGCGGTCGGGAGTGCTGTGACGGCGGCAATTGGCTTGTTTCCCGCGGTCCGTGTGGCTTCGGGGCTAATGGATTATCTTGAGATCCAACCGTTGGAATGTCTCCAAACCAAGTGCATTTGAAAGCTGGTTGATTCTTCTATAAGTTGTCCAATTTTGAGGGTGATCAGACGGTGAGAAGGTCTTCGTCTCTCCATGAAAGTTCTGACGGTCTGCATTTATCCAAAAGAGTCTTTTTGTTCCATTTTGTGCCTCTTTATCCCAAATTACCTGAAAAGTCTTTTAAAATCCAGAAACATAGAAATCCTTTGAAAACCTTTGAAAATGGAGTAAAAAAACTTGTAAAAAAAAATTAAAGTGATCCATAAAAATGGTCAAAATCCGGTGTTATCAACTCCCCCAGACTTAGTCTTTTGTTTGTCCTCAAACAAAACAAAGGCTAATCTCGGCGAGAGGTTTGAAAACGCAGGAACTAAACAAAATCTCAGAGACCAAACTTCTAGACCAATATCAATCAGTATGCATCAATTGGGAATAGCCTAGAAAATTTTCACTAGCAATACAGGCATAACTAGTCCGTTAATCCGTCATGCAGAAATCTATGCACTAAGATCTAACTTCCAGTCAACTAGCTCTTAACATTCATTAAAAATTTCGGTGGTTCTCATCATAGAAAATCTAGGCAAGGCAATCTAGGCTAGGTGTAAGGAAGGATTATTTCGGGGGTGTGGCTTAAAGTGTTTAAGGGTTACCTGAAGATCTGGAGGGTGCAGGACATTATGCAAAACCGCAAGAGAGAGTGAAGCTGTTGGTATCCACAGTTTTCAGTCACTTTTTCTTGATAGATTCATGGTCTTCTTCCTCAGGTTCTCTCCAAACTCCCCCAGACTTAGATTTTTGTAAATCTTTCAAAACAATAGCTCCTTAAACGAATAGTGGTTGCTCATTCCTCCACAAATTTCGACAATCTAAGACTCATTAGGCTTTTTGTTTCCTTTTTTTTTTTTTTTTGGAGAAAGGGAACACCTTTAGATATAGAGTCTTAGAGAGCACGAATTTACCAGTTAATATCTGTCTTGTAAAGCTTTATTATGTTTCTGATACTCCTCCTTCCCAATTCCATTCAGTCACCTTTGTGAGTGACTGAAAACTGCGTCGCTCCTCTTCTCTCCGACGTTTTTGCACATATCTGCTGATATAAACTAAAGAGAGAATGCATGAGGATTGAAAACAAGGGTTTTGGGTTTAGGGTATAATACAAGATAAAGATAAACTGGTCATCTAGGACGACAAAGAGTGGTAAAAGTGATGGTAAAAGACGTCCTAGATGTGTATGTCGATGCCTGCCTAAAATCAATGATGAGAAAATTAGATATCAATATTAAGTTCAAATAAAATGAGCTAGTATATCCTGTCAGAAAGAATCTCCATGAATAGAAGTCCTCTGGTGGGAGTTCGTAGTGCAAGTACTCTAGCTACCGCCTAGTCTAGTGCTAACCACAAATGAGCTATCATGCATAGTGTAGAAGTGTGCAGGCCTAAATCATCATAGTTTTGCGTCAAACATTCCTGAAAAATACTTAATGTCGAATAGGTTACATACTTAAATTTAAAAAGTACTTGAAAATTAAAAGCAAAGCAGGAAAATGATTAGTACGGATAGACATCCTCCCCCAGACTTAAATCACACTGCCCCCAGTGTGAAAAAGTTGGTGAGAAGATGGTGAATAAAAACGAAATAAAATAAGATAAAAGAAAAGAAAATGACGATAGAACCGTGATGGTAGTGAAGTGCTGATCAATCACTCATCCTCCGAAA